GAATTTCTAGCCTACAAAAAATATATGAGGATAGAACTAAGCACTGTAGTGTACGTTGTTCTCGGTCTACACTGACGCTACATTGAAATAAATGTGTATATTGATTGTTTAATATTTTATGTTTTGTTTAGGCTATATATGTATAATTAAACGATAATTATATATTAAAGTACTATCAATAGATTTTAAATACGTTTTAAAATGAATAATTTTGTTTTTAATGAAAAAACATTATATTGAGATTACTCTTGAAAGAAGGAGTTTAAGTCGACCTTCATAGCGGTAAAAATTTTTAGTTTCTTTCTTAACTAATTATCAACTTATAACTGAGGTTTTTAGCAGTACAAAAGATCAATTTTGGTCGTAGTGCTCCGCTCCGTTGGGAGCTAGAACCCTGTTTATTTATATTCCATAACTAAGATAATGAGCTATATACCATATATCAAATTTGTTAACCTCAACATTATTTGTGATTATATAAACCTGATATAAGATAGGACTTAATCTTTCTTGTTGAAACAGAAAAAATAGTAAATAAATAGGGGTCTCCTCTACCTTCAAGTAGAGTCGATATTCTGTTTTCTCAGACAAACTCATGTTATTAAGATGATAACGCAGGCAATGACGAAAACCTACCAACAATCTCACCTATGTTGTTATAAGGAGGGGTGCACTACTGACAAACCAACTCTTTAGCGTGGCGGTTATCTGGAGTATCGCGTTACTAGCGACTTCTTTCGGTTGACTTTTCGATCAGAAATCTGATTCGAAGAAATAATTCCAAGACCACTGTTGATGGGTATTTGGCAATACTCACAGTTGTAAGGTCAGTCAAAAATGCAATTAATTGAAAATAATAAAAAAATGTTTGTTGTTGGAATTTCACTACGATAAAAAATACTCTATAGATAATAATAGTTTTTATTAAGATTTTAGTTTCTTTCACTAAAACAAACGTTAAAAATCAATTTAATCTAATCATTCCGTTACAAAATCATATATATAGTTGAGTATTTGTTTACCAATAAAATTTTAATCGATTCCATTCAATAACATTTATAAGCTTTTTTTTAACTAAAGTAATCAAAATAAATAAATTTAAAACAATATCAATATTTATTTAGTATATTTTAAAAAATTGTAATAAATAAAGATACCATTTTATCCATTTATCTACAATAATTTTTAAACTACAACAAACTTTGATGTTTGATGTTTTTTATCGCATGCAATATTTTTGCACAGAATTACATGGCGATGCATTGTTGGTGTGCTTTGAACCCGGAAGCAAAAACCTTGTCGATTGTCAATCAAGTGCAGTAGACAACAACTAAAATGGCTACATGAAAACAAAGAAGAGAAAACAATGAATAAAACAAAAACTCATAAAAGATAGACAATCAACAGACAAAACTCAAAACTAAAAACAAATAAAAACTGTATAAAATGTAAATGAAATAAGTGACAAGATAAAAAGTGCACTCACAAAATACAAAATTGTTCAAAAACTTAGTAGTGCAAATTGAAAAATTGAAAAATCGAGAAATAATGGAAATTACCATTTAAAAGTTTAATATTTTTTTTAATATTTTTTTTTTCGATATTAAATCACAATCATCAAGGGAATGTCAACAACCTTTAAGTAAATTTGTATGAAAACACTCTCGTATTTTTGTTTTTTTTGTGTGATAAAAGCACTTAGACAGTTATTTCATCGTCAAAATAAATCAATACAAGGATAATAATAGCAAAATACAAGTCAACACAGTAAATTATATTCCTGTATTTGAAGGTATAAGGACATCATTGTCACTAGAACGAGTTCCTAAAAGCCAATTGAAGACAGGTGTTACAATCTGCTGGATTCAGATTTATAAAAGAATGCAGCACAATTCAGAGAGCAATAAATCTTGAAGCGAATTTTTTGAAAAAGCAAAGAATATAAAGGATCTAATAGGACTTTGGAATGAAAGTGTAACAACAAATTGTTTGGTTTGACACACAAATCAGTTTTAATCGAATGGTTTTGCGTGTAACTACAATTAGTAGAATGTTGTTTACTCTCTGGTGTACTCCATGGCTTATTTAAATGATATTTTCCATTGACTACATGTGCTCCTGTATCTGTTGTGGTTTGAAAATGTAGGAAAATAAAATGAAATCATTGAAAGGACTTTAAGTTAGATCAATGTACGCAGATTAAAATTCAAATCAATGCACACACGCGACAGAAAGCCTTGAAGATATTCTAAATAAATAAAATAAAATACACATACCCTATAACAGATAAAGTAAATAAGAGAGTAGCAGTATTACATTAATTTAATTAAATGAGGTTTAAAATTATAAATAGTATTGAAAGCATTATACTCGTACAAGTAATAATGCTATATTGAATGCTAAATAAATCCTCTTGACGAAGCCAAGGATATTAACAGAATTAATTATTGTAGTAGGTTGACATTTGCTTTATGTATATTTTCTGTATCTTGTAAATATTTTATATTTCAGTATTAGTTTGATTTTTAATTTTGCAATTTAAAGGCATTTTCTTAGATTATGCACTACGGCCTTGTGCGAGTTCGAGTAAATTGAGGTAAAGTAAATTGAAATTTCCTAGGGATTTTTTGCACTGCACTTATGTAAATATTTATTTATTTATTGCATTTATTTATTATTTTTGGTTAAAAGTTTTCAAATTTATTTATTAAACTTCTTATAAAATTTTCACAATAGTATCAACTAATTTTTATTTAATTTACCTTACTTGAAATTCTGGTAAATATCAACATTCGCTACCCTACCGACATAATCTACTATTTCCCTCAATTTACTATCAATTTACTCGAACTCGCACACGACCTACATCAGTATTTTAAATAAATTTTAAGAAAATACCAGTATATATAAGAAGAAAGAAAGCTTATACAGATTGTGACATATTAATTTTGAATTTATTTATTGTAGTAAGAATACGCATGAATACTATAAGTATAGATTATAGAATGCAAATTGAGAAAATATATTTTTATTAAGTATTTCTATAAAATTAATGTGACATTTTAAATTTAAAGTGCATGAACTCAACTGCATTCAGTTGTGTCATTTAAACTGAAACTGGAAAGGCAATGCAAATTATTTTAGTATTCATTTTACATAATTTTTGACATTATTCAATTGAATATGCATTACAGAAATATTATGAACTAATAGGCTTAAAACAATATTATTGTTTCGCTAAATTAACATAAAATTAAAATTAATTGCAAACTAAATGACCCGAACATTACCATTTTGGCTTCACAAAATATTGTATTTATAGTTTACATGAATAATTTACAAATTTTATGAACAGATATATATATATATATTTTAGCTCAACATATATATTTCTTGATTTCATATATATGATTTGTACTTTATGCTTATATATTCGTAGATAAAACATTTATTTCAGACTTATTTGGAATTAGAAACAAAACCCTTTTTTATAAAATTCGATGATAAAAGGTTCAGAACTTAACTACACTTTGGAAAAATAATTTGAATAGAATATGAGAGAATTTTTTTAGCAAATAATACTCTTTAAAAGTTTTCTAATTTTTATGAATTGTTTTAAATACCTGTAAAAAACCAAACTAGTATACAATTCTAGAAGAATAGATAAAAGCTGGTGTTGCGGAGATGTGATTGAGCTGTAATCAGCATTCGCAGTAAATTACACATATTTGGAGTTGTACCTGTAGATTTCTTTTTTGTGGTGAGGAGGTGGAATGTTTTATGCACCGTCAAACCAACTGTCGCCGAAATGGTGTGTCCGACTCTTACTTTGTAGTATATGTACTTTGTAGTATACGAACTAAAACATCCCCTCTTCTTTTGCGGGATCGCTTTCGCAATTCAGGAAGGATCCCTTATAAGTTAACCATCCATGCCATATGCTTCCATTCCACCTGCGTCCTGGCTCCCAGTCATGATCCGAGTTGGAATGTCATTAGATTGCTCTTCGTTTTAGGTTAGTTTGCGTGTGGATCTTTCTTTCTTTCTTTCTTTCTTCTTTTCCCTTAATACATTTCCGATGAATTGTGTGATTTCATTCCAATTTTCTGCACGTTTTGTCATTTTTTTTACGATTTTCTCAACTGTGAAGAGACCTATATATTTTACAATGTTGGTTATCAATAGAGTTCAATTTCAAACTTTGCTTGAAAGAAGGCAAATTCTTTTTATAAGATTTGTTCAACTTAGTAGGTCATATGAAATGCGGTCCGTGAATGGTGTGAAGGAGCTTTTAAGTATCGCTATTAAAGCTATTATGAAATATCTTGAGTAGACAAGTGTATGACAACATCTAATGCTCTGTTCTTATTGCTTATAGCATATTCTCATCATGTGTACTTTTTTCATGTTCCAAAAGTAATCAAACAAGGAACTGTAAACAAATACTACCAGCATTTTTTTCATTTCTATCAAGGATCTAAAAATGTTAAAAGAATTAAGTAAAGTATTAATTAATTAATTTATACAAACAGTAGTATTTAAATCTGTAAATAGCAAAATATAAAGCAATTAAGAAATTCTTCAAAAAATTAATGAAATTCATTGTTTGCGTTAAAAAAAAAATTTCAACAAATTTAACTGTGGGAACATTTACATGTATAAATACAGAGCTCGAAGGTACTAAGTTAAACATTACTGCTGATAAATCCAACTTGAAATATAAATACAAAGTAGTAGACTTTATTTTATTTATTTTCGAAAAGGTTTCTTCTTCATTAAAATACAAAAAAGTGACTCGTGTTAAAAATAATTATTTGAGTGCTACCGCAAATTGTAATTAAGTTAAATAAAACTTGTGCCAAATACTCGTTTGATGACGTTTATTTATTTTCGGCTAAAAATATTCACTTTTGCCTATTAACAGAAAATAATTCAATTTGATTTAACAAAAAGTAACCAAAAAAATAAAAAAAATTATTGCGTCTATTTTATTTTTAGCAATGGAAACTAAATTGGATTCACGTCAGGGACAATTTCCCGCTTCCTTTCCGGACACATTTAAGGATTTTTTTGCAATGATGAGCGAAGACGAGGACCAATTAGATTTATTTTCTAATTTGCTAGAGGATAAGGTAAGATATAAATTGACATAAACTGTTGTGAGAAGATAAATTAGCTGTTAAGAAGACAGAAATTTATCGAGCAAATACAGGAGAAAAAAAATTGTTCAACACCTCAGGGAAAAACAAATTTCATATACTCGTCAACTATGTCTAAAAATTTTTATCCTTAAGGCTGTAATTTTCTTTTTAATTTCCTTTGTGAAACGAAATTTTTGTTCCTTTGATTTTTGTCATAATTTTACGCATTTTTGCTTCAATTTAAAACAAATTATGAAGTTTCTTAACTATTTTGCCACGAGAAGATAATAGTAAATATTTTATAACTTATTATGTATGCATAAATGTTAATATGTTAACAGAAAAAACAAAAAAAAAATATGGAACTTGCATTTTAATTTTAATTTAATTAAGCTGAGTTTTTTTTTTATATGAAAAAGTTCGTTGTTTCCATAAAACGCAGTGCATGCATAAATTTCAGTGCATTCAACTCTCATTTCAAATGCAGTGCAGAAGCAAATTGCGCTTGTCCACGCCTTCTTATGCCTTTTCGTCCTGTTTGCTTTTATAATTTCTGTTACATTTGTTATAAGTTTTTTGCTTTAAATGCAGTTTTTGTGTTTTTATTATTATGTGTTGTTGTTGCTGTTGTTGTTGTTGCAACTGTTTCAACATGCAAATGAAAAAATTCAACGCTTACATTATCCTGTCAGAGTTGTCAACTTTTGTTAGCGTTCAACTGATAATACTTTAATCCTTTAAACTTCTAAGATATTGGGTTGTCAGGTAAAAATTAATTTTATATTAAAAATCTATCAAAAAGCTTTTGTGCTGCTTTAAAGCTGTCAGGTTTGTCAAATGTTATTTGGTTTTGTAATTATAAATAAAATTTATTAAATTATATATAAAAACTCATTCTTATGACAACAAAAGTTGAAATTTCATTAATTATTGTAAAGAAAATAAATAGATTATAAACGGTGGATATTAGAGGTAGGAAGTTTCGTAGAAGACGTGCCACACTTAGCCCCTAAGAAGAGTGTCCACAGTGATATCAACGATTTAAGTCACGCTAACCGTTTAACTTAAATTAACGACACCCACTTTTTGGACCGAGACATACAGTGTGTCGTCTTATTTAAAATGTTCAGGGTATTTAATACCAATATAAATAAATATTTAAAAATTTTTATAAATTAATTAATATATCTAATTTACTAAAGCGAAAAGAATCAACTTATAGTGGATACCATGAAATATTATTAAAATTAAACATTTTATTTACTTTGCCATTTAAAACCAGTTGTTCTAACTGAACCTGATAGAATAGATTGGAGATATTTTCATGTTTTGTTTTTACTATTACTATTTGACAATCAGTCCATTAAATTCTTAACATTTTTTGATATACTTTTTGTTTTTATAATTAGTTGCCTCACAAACAGTCCATGAAACATTTAACATTTTTTGATATACTTGTAGTTTGAATTTCTCGTTCCTAATCTTGTTTAAATCCGACTAAATTTCTATTTAGTTGAAAACTTTAGATAAGATATCTAGTTCATCAGTTACAAAACTTCTTGGATTTTCTTAAAATTTCAATGCTTTATTAATAAATTAATAAATACTCAAGTAATACAATCTTTAATCAAACAAGTCATTTTAATTCAGACTTGAATGAAATTAAATCAGGTAAAACAGATTATTTATTGGTCGTTGACATAGTTTTGCAAAAAACTTGTAGCCCGCAGTGTTTAAATGGACTCACAAAAAGAAAATATATAATGTTCACCTTTGATATGTTAAACAAAGTCATTTTTAAAATTAACACTACGTACATAGATATGCTAGCTGCAATCCATTCCATGTAACATAGGTTCACTGAAAATCTAGAAAGTGAGTTCCTTGTGATGCCATTGAGAAGTTTTAAAGTATATTAGGTAGCTGTATAAGATTTGGACGGAGAGGCTTATGTTTTGTAACAGTTGCAATGTTTAACAAAACTAACAATTTTGCTTTAAATAACATTAGTACAATTTATGAAGGAGTTTTTATTTAAAAACAGTTGGTTTCGAATTTCTTTTGAAAAAGGAAATAAACTTTATTATAAAAATAATATCTATTTCAATAGGTTTTCATGAAATAAATCTCACAATGTGCTTATGTATTAAAACCACAAAGTAAGAAGCATTCATTCTTGCTTAAATGACAAAAAAGTTATTCTATAAGAAATCTTGATTTTCGTTTTCTTTTGCTGTAAAGACAATTATATCCTTTCAAAAAAGAGATATAATATTCTAAGAAATATAATCAAGTGCCAGATACACTTTATCTGTGTTATCGTCTCATGTTTGTACAGTTTTTCTTAATCAACACATCAGCTGGAAATCAAGCACATAAATATACTTGATTTTTGTCATCGTCTTACATTTGTTTAGTTTGTCTTTGTCAACATATCACCTGGAAATTTGATTGTTGCTTCTTATTTTAATTAATTTTAAGATTAAAGTTTCCAAAAATGTTACCTCCAAAGACAATCAAAAACAGAAATTCCATGCACTGACAAAGGATAAATTTAAATTGCAACTGCTTTGAAACATTTAAATGCAACATCACAACATTATCCTGTATCGTAAGCAGCACCATTGACGGATGAAAAGATTTTGCAAAGCAAAAAGTCATCAGGATTTTAGTGTTATTTTTTGTTGTACGTATACATTTGTCTTTTCTTTCGCAGGTTATTCCACGTGCGAACAAATTTAATCAACGTCGTTGCGGTGGCAGTTTGCGATGTTCCACACATCCCAATAGTGTGACAACTGCAGGTACCAATGGCGGTGGAAATGGCAGTCATAACGTGGGACGCTCAAATTCGTTTCGTGTAAATCGACCACGTCACACTTTCGGTAGTAGTAACACTGCTTTAAACATGGTAGGCGTTGGCAGTACCAGCAACATTGGAGGCAGTGGCAGTGGTAGTGGTAGTTTATTTTGCAAACATATTAAATATTGTTGCTTACATCAACAACAACAACAGCAACAACAACAACATCAGCAACTTCAACAATTTTCACATCCTCATAATTATGGACAACAAAGTTATCATCAGGATTATGTGAATAGCACAGATGCACGCTTAGGTCCTGATGGTGAAGACAATAGCGGATGTGGTTCGAATATGCTAGGCGATGGTTGCAGTGGGGGTAACAGTCATCAACAACACCAACACCAACACCAACAGCAACAGCAACAGCTACAACATTCTCATCAACAGCAGCAACAACAGACGCAACAGCATCAAAAACGTCATTCTGTTATCCTCGAACGTGCTTTCGATTTTGGTGAGTAAAGACGAAATGATTAAAAACTATACACATTTTCCAATAAATTTTTTATTAAAATGTTAAAATAAACTTTGTAAAATTTAAAATTCAAATTTTTCACTCTAAATTGCTCGTGTAGTTGCATGTATATATAGCAAGTTTTTTACAGTGTAAACGCATGCAAACGATTTAAGCAATTATTTAAAATTATGTTGCATTTTAAACTCGTTTTTTGTATTTGGCTTGATTGGATATAATTTGACTTCCAATTCGATATTCGATTTCAGCTTTAAAATTGCTTTTTAGTAAATTTCTAGCAGAAACACCGTTGAAATATATGAAATTTGGTTTGAAAAAATCATTACAATTTCATCGTGTTGAGCACTTAAGGTTGCAATTTGATTGAAACGTTCTGTAAAAGAAAAATCTTACAAAGAAATTGTAAGAAGAAAATATTCAAAAGGATTTCTTAAAAATTTTCTTATACTTATCAACAACAAGATAGTCTTATCAACAGGAAAAATACTTTTTCAAACAGAGATCAAAATCGAATAGTTTTTAATTGTCTTTATTAAATAAACGAAAAAGTAAGCAATCTTCTTAATCTAGGTCTGATTTGACGACTATTCTGAAAGAAGTCATACCGTCTCTTTATCGGTTAAAACAAAGAGGGATTTTAAAATAAATATGTTAGATGAAACAGTCATTTTTGTTGTATTTGTTGATACTTTCATAATTGAAAGTAATAAAAAGAAGACACATTCAGTTCTCGGAAAAAATGCTAAAAAATGTTGAGGACTCATAGTCGATCCATTGTTTTTATAGTATCAGATACAACTAGAGTGGCATGACCTTGATACCGCTAAAAATGTCTATAAACAGTTTTGACTTAAAAAACAACAGAAATATTCAATAGCGTCAGATATAATCGCAATTAGAGCAGTATGATATCCAAACCATTAAAATTTCAATAGATTTATAAAAACAAGCGTATTTATTAGCTAAAGAAAGTTGAAAGAAATTAATTTAGTATTTAGTATCGATGTTTATGGAGAAGTATAATCCGTTATAGTCCATAAGCGTGGACTATATTCATCGCTACTATATTCTTAATATCTGTTAAAAGTAAAACTGCTTATGTGTAATTGAGTTCATTATAAACTGCAATTTCAAGCCATACAGTAAAACGATTTTGTTACAAGAACTAAAAATTTGGAACTTCATCTCAAGATGCAGACCTTTGTCAATCTAAATCTTCCTTTTATGTATAAACGGACATTGAACTTTATGAAGCCGATTGTTCATGTCATCAATTGCATTCTTCTTTTTAAGCTTACTGTAATACAAAGATATTTGAACTTCAATTTATTGCATTCGAAATAATTTTTTTCTCCGTTTCTCCATTGTATCATTACATATATTACATCATTACATGAAAAATTTAATAAGGAAATAAATCTAATTCCTTTTTTTTTAAGATACTCGTGAGTCTCACATAAATTACATATTTTACACATTATATTTGGTATAATATGTCTTACATATTTTTTTTTGTATATGTCAGCAAAGTATAGATAATGTATTGCTTTGGCATAACTTTATTCTCATTAGACTCTTTATAATATAAACTGCAATGAATACATCTATGTTGCATCTTAGATACGTCTATGAAAATGCAGATACTAAACCAGTGACATTTTAGTACAAAACTTAAAAATAAATTGACTTTAAAATAAAATCACTTTTTTAATAAAACATTTACTGACATTTAATTGCACTGCCCACATCTTTTTTTACAATTATATAAAATTTATGCTCGAATACTTTAAACCCAATGTGGATTGAAATATTTTTTAAATTGAATAAAAGTTTACTTTACGAAAAATATATTTGCTTAATCCCTTAAAAATCTCTTCAATATTTTGGTTTTTTGGTTGCAAAGTGTTTTGCAATAAAACATATGGGCACTAAAATGTATTTTTTTTAAATATAGAGTTATTCCATTTTATTTATCTTCTTGCATCCTCCTCAATGGATGGATTTATTAAATTTAGGTTAATTTATTTTGTATAAAGTTCACTCAAGTAAATTTTATTTCTGACCTTAAATAAAAGCGAGTAGCTTGTGGCATGAAGATAACAAATTTGCAATAAATTTTTAAATAATTTAAAATTAATAAATCGCTTTTGAAAAACTTGGATCTTGTTTGTTGTGTATTTAGTTCTTGTAATTCATTGTAAAACATTTTCCTGTTGCTTTAACTTAAATAGGATCAATACATGGTTTATGACTTAAAACCCTTTATGAATTTGTACTGCATTGATTATAATCTTGGATTATTACTGAATAGGAATAGTGAATAGAAAAGCAATTAGAGTGTTATATATATTACTTATATACACATATGTATATTTGAAAATTTATTTAAAATGTTATGTTTCCATTAAATTAAATGTGTATGTGTATTTGCATAAATCTACACCCACATCTTTACATATTTATTTGCATATTAATACATATCTATACATTAAATATAGTTTTAAAATAAATATGCATTATTAAATGAACATTATTTCTATACTAAGTGGGTGAACTCATGGCAAAATATTTTTGCTGGAACTGTCTTTTAACAGTAGCCACTCTTACTTTTCGAATGAATAAATGGTATTAAATATCATGAAATATTTTTGTTGTTTTTTATATTGAATATGTTTAACGAACTTAAATGGTACATGCGGTAAAAGTTTCGAAATGAGGTTAAACTTTTTGCATTAAATGTAAAACATGATAAATGCATTTAGTAACATACTTGAAACTTTGTATTAAAATTCATAAAATTTCAGCTTATAAATCACATTATTAACATATTCTTCTACACATATATCACACTGTTGATACGAAGATAACCCAAAACATGTGTGTTCACATAAGTGAACTCAACTAAACGTTTTCTTGCTTGAATATCTCGAATATCACTCATACGCAACGATGTGCGGATTTGTCCTACAAACTTCAACTTATCAAGGTTTTAGCACGTTGGCAACATTGTTCTTTATTTTGAGTTTCTCACATATAATTTTAAGTGTTCTTTATGTTGAAATTCTAGTTGTTTTGTCGTTCGAAATACATAAAATGTCACTAGAGATTTTACACAAAAATAGTGGCAACATACGCAACACACAACACACAACATATAGTGTGTGGATTTTGTGCTGAAAGCAATTAAGTAATTCCCCCTTTTCGTGCGACAATTTCATATGGAAGTGCAAGAAGTGGAAGTGTTCGCACTAGTTTTTACCTTAGTCGGTTCGACAGACGCTCAAACGCTCAAACGTTTTAGTTAACACAAATGAGCGTTAATTTGGAACCTGAGTGTTTTGCTGCAGAACATTCATAATTAAGCGCACTTCAGTATAATTGCGAGCTATGTATGTGGCCTAAAATATTTTATTGTGCACGTTTATTGCTAGGAATGACATTTAAAGCAATTAGCAAAATATATTTGCACTTCGTTTGCAAGTCATTCTGCTTTTAATTCTTTTTTTCACAATACTTTAGCCTTAACCTAGTAAATATTGTCAGAGAGTTTGAAAAAGTTCGAGAACCACTTTATAATTTGAATAAAATATTTAAATTTTTAAGCCATGATTCGTGTGCAAATGATTTATTGTTGAACAATACTGATATACTATAAGATTTAAATAATTTTAAAAGATAAATTGCTTACTTAGTTGGTCATCACAGACGTGAATCGTCCTTGGCCGTATCGATTAGCCTTCGTCAGATAGCCCGATGAGTTGCTTGATGTCACCAGTTGGTAGTACCGACCGCCCTCAAATCGTTGGTCAGTTGGTCCTTCCACCGAAGATGCGGATGTCCTCTAACGGGTTTCTCGCCAGAGCACTTTCTTCCATTCACACGATATAATCAAGCCAGCGAAGCCGCTGAGTTTTTATGCGCTGAACTATGTCAATGTCGCGGTATAGCTCATACAGCTCATCGTTTTATCTAATTCGATACTCGTCGCCAACCCGTAAGGGACAATAGATTTTTCGAAGAATTTTTCTCTTGAATGCTCTTAACGCCTTCTCATCGCTGTTGGTAATTGTCCAAGCTTCTGCATCATACATCAGGGCAGGCATGATAAGAGAGTTGTAGTGTGTGATTTTTAGAGAGAGGGCTTTACTGGAATCAATATTCTTATATCTACATGATGTGCATTTCTGTTCTTATTTAAATATCATACAAAACAGATATTTTGGAAAGTGTAAATTACATTCTGTAATTGCTTATGTAGCATTGGAAAAATACCATCATTGAAAATTTTTTATTTTTGATTAATGGTTTGATTAATTAAAATAAAGTTAATTAATGATAACTGCGTTTCGATTTTAAGTTTAGATACTCAGTGATTACTTTTTGTTCATATTGATAAAAGTTAAAAGTTAAAAGGAATATTGTAAAGAAATTGATATAAAAACATTATTTGAAGCTGTAAAAGAAGCTGCTTTAGCTACTTTTACACATAAACAACTAAACTTAACATCAGTGTTATTAGATTAGATATGCTAATAGAGTAGGCTAGTATATAAATAGGTCTTTAACAGGTATCTAAATATCTTCCTTTTACTACGGTGCGAGATAGTTTAGTATATATATAGATGTGTTGATATAAAATACATTATTATTATTTAAAAGAACATTGGAAGGTTGCGCCCTATAAGTTCTATTGTGCTCCTTATGGAGAGAGTATTCTACGTTAACGTGGAAAACGGTAAGTTATTTTTATAAAAAATACAAGATAATACAAAATGTATGTACAAGCGTTTATTTATATAATTTGTGCTGTGTTTTTATCAAAATTTTTATCATACTTTTTTGGTCTTTTTATTGTATTATATAGAAGCGAGTAATTGCTTTATTTTACGTGCTTTAATACTGTGGTTTGTTACAGGCTTCTTTATTTAAATGAAAGTAATTCACAGAATTTATCATTGCTAATTTAGTACATAAATAAGATTAGAGAAAATTATTTATCCTTTACTATCATTTATTTTAATTATTTTATTTTTGCATAGAAAACTCAATCTTTTTGTAACAATTGCCAAAAATGCTGTTTAACTATGTAAGGAGGGATTTAACTCCTACACTCCTATACAGAAGATTCATTACGTTCACAAAATTATAGTATACATATATGCGTACGTCTTTAAGAGAAATGAACTAAGAATTAATAAAATTTTTGTACTTTTTCCTTAAATAGAAATTTAATCTTAAAAACATTTTTAGCAGAAAACTTTAATTTTTATAACTAAAAATATTTTTAAAAAGGCTTTAGTCATTAAAGAATATTAATAGCTTATTTTTAGTATTTTAAATTATTATCCTATGTATATATATATTTGTATTCCACTTAAAGTATGCTTAAAAATTTTCCAACTTAACAAACTTCATATATGATGGATATTAGTATTTCTTATAAACTAATTAAATATATAAGTCATTAATCTCCGAATTCCCGAACATAATTCTAAAGTACAAAATATGATATATCTGCCTTATATTCCGGATTTACCACTTAATTAAATCTGACAAGAGATCGATCCGATAACATGTGATCTAAACAACAACTGGATCCAGATATAATCCAGAGAACATCTGGAATCCGATATAATCCAGACAACATCTGGATCCAGATATACTCCAGATAACATTTGGACCACATAAATTTCAAGTTTATATGCATTACTTCAAGATACGCGATAATTGTATGAGTATTTTCTAGAACGTATAGGTTTTTGTTGTGGGAAATTTTTTTGTGAAAAATAGAACCTTCTTATTTGGCACTACAGTCCAGTGTGAACGTTGGCCTGGAACCTTGAAAGATAGAATAATGACTAACATATGCGAAATGTATTCGCACACCAAATTTTTCGCATCGAACCAAATTCTTATTTCAATTTTATTGCATTAAATTTTGACAATATTTTGCATAATAGCATTATGTACAGATTTTATTTTTTTATTACATCTAAGAGCTTGAGTGGGAAGAGAGCTTGAGGGGGTTATATAAACCACCATTTTAATATTTGTGTTTGTTCTACATAAATTTCTTAACTTTTCTAAGTAACTTAATTAAAATTTGACATAAACTTTTCATTAAACTTTTTGAAGCAACCAACACAATGCTTCCATAAAGCAGTTATTCATAAAGAAACTCAATTATTCAAAACTCCAACCCATTTATTGTAAGACCACATTTATGGCACAGTGAAAGAAAAAGGTACGAGTATATTTAATAAAATTAAATTAAATTAATCAAAAATTTCGTTAAAGACCTACAAATATTAAATTATTTAGAAAAATATTATAATATGAAATTTGTAAATGACAATATGACAATATGACAGAAACATTCAAAACTGGATGCATAACAAAACTTATATATACGAATGCTTTTTATTGTTATCAAGAAATTAATTTGTGTGGTTCATACATGAGGTTGGAAAGAATTATCTGTTAAAATCCAAAAATTACTTATACACATTCGCACAAATGGAACGTCAATATTTTTGCCATTTAGGTTTGCAAACACATGCACGTATCCTGGCGTAGAGCTAGAAGCATGTCCTTCGAAGTAAAACATAATTGCTTATGAGGCAAAGTTTGTGTAATTTTGTTCTCAAATCGGCACACATTTCTGTATAAATTTTGTACTTATCGAAATGTGCCATACACAGGCACAGCCAAGCACTCGTATTTATGTACGATTTGCAAAATAAATTGCTATCAAAAGGTTAGAACCAATATTAGATTTTTGCTTCGAAAATAAATGTCTGTTGCTGGTTGTGTACTGGTAGGATAAAGGTTAAAAATATTGTAAAAGTTTAGATATAAATATTCACATTTGGCAAGATGGCAACACATTTCAACAATATTTCTACTTTTGATTGATTACTGAATCCTTTGTATATTTTATTAAGGCTACACAAATCAAAAAGTCTACACACAGCAATAATACAACAGAATACTCATGTTCTGCCAATAGATAAGCCTTAAATTTAATATTTAAAATATATGTCCTATAAGTGGAACTAATAAAGTTTATTAAAATGAACGTGTAATATTGCTAAATGAATAACTAAGAAATTTGATTCACTTTGTATAATATTAAATAGAATTTAAGTGTGTAGTGTAGAGTTGTCTTTATTGATATTTGATATGTGAATACTGAAGTTTATATATGAATATGTTACAATTTTTATAATATATATTAAATATATTTACATTTTTTTATTTTTTCAATGCAAGTCAAATATTTTAAAGAATATTAGTAACTTATATTTATATATTAAATTTTATATTTAATATATAATATTTAATATTTAATAAATATTTAATACAATTCGAGACAATATTAGTTCTAAAAATAGTGGTATGATATGAATGAAATATCAAAAATATAAAACCATTCAACAATTTATCTCATCATCATCATCATAACTATGCAGTCCATTTAGAAAATGCTTTACGACTTGCCTTCGTTCGTCTCTATTTTTTTTCCAATTGCTGGTATTCAACTCTCTGATATCTTACCGCACACTTTCACCCAATCTTTTATTTGTTATTTGTTATTATAAATTCATCTTCCAACATTCGTGGTGGCTCCCTCTCTTGAGATTTACTTGCCAAAAACAAGCTAAAAGCAATAATTTGACAATTAAGAAAAAACAAAAAGTGCTACCTTACAGTGCTAAAAAACTATATATAAATAATATCGTTAAAAATGTCTGTGAAAAATCTCTGCATGAATATTAAAAACAAACTTTTAAACTTCAAAATAAATTAAACATAAAATGTATAAACTTTTAAGTGGTCATCTTAACTATCCATCCTTTTTTTGTGTATATTAACTTCACATTACATTTAAGTACAAAATTATATTTACAATTTGAGATTTTTATTGTCTACTACATACACATAACACAAGTTAATACAGTTTCTTTATATACCGCATATGACTCGTGGTATACTTTTTATAAAGATTTTAAGATTTTGAACAAATATAACAAATACTAAGAACATAATCTGTTCTTTGCAGATGCGAGCTGTGATGAAAGCGATACCATCAGCACAACTTCGTCCACTCCAACAACAACTAACATACCCTATAACATACTCAAGCCGATATTAAAGCAACCACAACAACAGCAACAATCACAAAACCAACAGCAGCAACAAGCAACAATGGCACATTCAACTATGCACCAAATAAGTGCATCACAACATAGTATGAAGATCTCCACGTCCAAGGATATGCCGCATCGAACACTACCACAACCTCCAAAGGGTGCAGGCATTGGCGCTTTTCATACAAAAGAAACAGCTTTAAAACGTATACAACAGCAGAGTGGCTTACTGGCCGGCAGTAAAACGAATTTATCCGCTTTAAGTGGAGGTGTACTGGGTACAGCAGTCAACAATACAAACAACACGATTGGCAATGGAGTTGCCGGAGCAGCAGGAGCTGCTGGTGGAACGGGAACTACAAACAACCTTAATAATAATCATTACGGCGGCAGTAATTATAATATTGGCGGAAATGTTGTAACTGCCGGTGGCAGTGTGACTGGAATGGGAGTGGGAGTTGGTGTTGGCTACATGGACTTACATTCACCAACAGCCACACAATTAACAGGCATGAACAAATTCAACGACTTATTAAATGCTGGCAGCGGTGGATTAGTCACTAGCAGTCGCAACAATCTAAGCGTAAGTAAATTACAGTAATGTACGGTAAACTTGTGATTAAGTTAAAAAATGAAAAGTAGGAAAACTAAATAAAGTCAGGAATGTATTTTTATGTTGGATGCAATCCAGCTAAGCAAATTACTAACATTTTTTTAATTTAATTAAATTGCATTTTTGTGTGTTATTCTTCCACAGAATATACGTGCGCAGAAGTCACCCATACTTAATCGTAGACGCTCTTCATCGATTGCGGCAAATCTTCTACTCACAGGTGATTTGCCATATAATCGGAGTAACATGTCTTTAGCAGCAGCAGCAACTGGAGGTACTGCAACAACTGCTGACGACATAAGCAACATTCGCAGTCAAGTCAGTGGAAACATTGCAGCGGCCACAACAGCGTCAGCAACAGCAATTGGCACAGCATCAATGCCGCATAGCAGCACACGGTGAGTGGAGCAAGAAAGTGTTGTAATTCTAAATTTCTAAAGAATTTCGAATATGCATTCTGAGGTATTTTGTCATATTTCTCTAAATTTTTAAGTAGAAACAGCATTTATGGATGCAATTTTAAGTAAAGCGGATGTCGTATCTTAAAAGAAACAATGTTCAAGTAGGTCGCAGTTATAAATTATTTATTGTGGGTTTTAGATGGGTTTTAGGGTAGCATTACAATAAAAAGGAGTGAAGCAAAGTATAATTAAATAATTTCATTATTTTGTATAAAAGGGCATAGAAAATAATAGGGTTATAGTTTCCCAAAGGAAGGGAGCAGCTATGGAGCTATGGGTATTTTGTGTGCTAAATAGTATTTTGTATGGTTTAATTTATAATTTTGAAAATAGTCAAGAAAACAATATTTAATAAAAAAATTTTTATAAATAATTACTGCAAAGAGGGCTGGCATAATTTTTCAAGTTAGCTCATTATAAAGTTATGTGCGCAATTTTGCCAATTCAACATGAAAAGGCAAATAATATTGTGTAATCAAAGAAGAAAGAAAAATAATGCCATAAAAAGGTGTACACAATTGCACTTCCGGTTAACCTAATTACTTGCCTCTTACACAATTGTTGCATTTATGGTTGCGGCGCGGCACTCGGTTTGAACGTTGCATTTTGTATCCTGACACAAGGCACAGTAAGGGGCGAAATTATAAATTATTATTATATTAAGAATTCTGCTTCTGTAGTCACAAAGGAAGTAGACATTTTCCGCAAATATTTTTATTTAAATATAAAAAATCCACCAATAAAATATTTGGTTTTTGTATTTCGGACGTATGTGCTGTGGGGAAGTATACACAACAGTACTTAAAGAAAACTTTAAAATGTCGTATAAATACAGTAATCCCCCCTATAACACGGTACTCTTATAACGCGTTTTCAAATAACGTAATTTCAATCCCTGGTATAACATGGGCATTCCCCCATATAATGTGGCGATTTGTACAGTGTATATGGCGTATACGGGAATACCCCTATAACGCGTTTTCCTGTAACTCGGAACCAATCTACCGCGTTATAGGGGGGATTACTGTATATATTATGTATATATGTGTATAAACATGTGAATGCATCAGTTAATAAAATGGCTACGCATACTGCCGCAAGTGCAAAAATATTGCAAAGTAAATGCTTTAAAAATAAATATTGAAGAACTTCAACAGACGCCATTGTTTCGAAATAAAATAACCGGAAATGTGGAAAAATATAAATGAAATATAATTGGAAATACACATAAATGCAGTAGATTAAAATGAAAAGTGAATTCATTTGGTTACGCATTACGAGGGATGCGAATGAAATTATTTCATTATTGAAAAATTTCATTTAAACAACCATTGAAATCCTTTAAGCCAAACCATTTGCTCATAAACATTCAAAAAAAAATTTTATTTTATTTTAAAAGCACTTTTTGCAAAATTTAGTAGTATATTTTTAGTATTAAATGTATTACAATCTATATAAAATTTTCACTTCCATTGCTTTGGTTTTGAATATTTTCATTTTTATGAGTGGATAGAAAAAATGTAAATTTTTATCCTATTTACCTAAAGTGGAGGGATATAATCCTTAAATTGGATTAAAAATGTTGAGTATAATTTTTGTATTATAGCTGTAAAGACATAAAATATGAAAAGTAATATAATTAAATAGTTTAAGCAACACTACAAAAACAAACTAATGGAATTATTTCCGAAGAAAAAAAATGTGTAAAGGTTTACTTTGTATTTTAAAGAAACAAAATAGAATTTATATTAAATTTTTAATTTCTAAATATGATTTTGTTTAGTAGATGCAGTGCATTTCCTTAATGCATTGCATCTACTTAAATTAAACTAATCCTTAATTAAACTAAAACAGACTCTGAATAATGAATTGTGAAAAGATTTTATACAGTTTCCATTTCGATAAATTGAACAAACCACCTCTAAAGATCAATTTTAAAATGACAATCTCTGTTATTTTTATTTAATTTAAAAGACCATTATCTGAAATCACTTTTTAGAAGTCCAGGGATTGAAAACAGTAATACTAAAACTTAAAAGTAAAGATCGTTAATTATAATTAATAAGAGATAAGATGTCAAATGAATATCAGGAGTTTCCCTAAGAGTAAATTCAATGAAGTATTTGGGTTGGTTTTAGTGATAGCACAGTTCTGTAATTACACGCCTAATTATGTATAAGCCATACAACGATTGAATGCTTGCAATGTATTAATGTGCGGCCAACTATTACGCACAACTAGCTGCAAAAATTCGTGGGTTCGGTTTCTCGTTAAATATAATTTATTGTCGCATTTCAATTTACGAATATTACTTCGTAATCAAATAGTTTACAATTAAGATTTTTTTTCTAATAATTAAATTTTTCTTATATTTAAAAAATATTAAACAAATATTTTATACCCAAAAATCGATATGTGAAATCATAAAATCTGTATTGCAATGAATACAAATAAAAATGAAATTTAAAAAAAAAATATTTCCAAACTATTTTTATGCTTTAACTGAACTGAAAAACTATTGCGTTTACCAAAGCCAAATATTTAAACCATTCAAGCTTTCATAGAGTGATAAAAGCAAATATCCCCTTTCTATGAATTTAGGTCAAAATCAAAAAATTGCTATTTTACTGCCTCAGTGGTTTAGTTGTTTTGTGTTTCCAGACTTTTTGGTTTAAGGCCTTTTTTCAGTAATCCACTTTTACTGGGAGAATGCTTTTGTTGGTTGGAATGAAAAGTAAAACATTCGAAATTGGTTTGGTGTTGTTTAATTTAGAAAATAGGAAAGAACTTTGGAATGAAATTGAAAAGTAAAAAAATATGTAGCAGAAAACAGTATCTAGTACATTTAATGCCAATGTGTATATAACATAATACATACATATGTACGACAATATTTAAATATAAATATGAAATATTATATTCTTAATTTCTATTTTGCAGTGACCGCATTTCAATGGCAAAGTCGCCAGTCTCCGGTAAGCCGTCACGTATTCCACTGATACCACTCGAGGGTGGGGTGCTTACCTTTCAGCAAGCCATGTCAGGTGCAGTATCACCACAGTATGCCGGCACTTCAGGACTAGCCCACATGCGAGGCAGTTTAGTGGGAGGAAGTATTGCTACTGGACTCGATACAATGGGCTCATCTAATGCTTTGGCATCTGTATTCGAACGCCCTGCAACAAGTGGTGCGGGGCCTTGCGCCACAAATTCTCCAACTGCAGTTGATTCACCCACAAATCATCATGAACACTTCTCCATGATGCCAGTTGGTGCTTTAGGTAATATGAGTGGTAGTAGTGGTGTGGTTGGGGGTGTCAGCTCAAGTGTGCTACACGGCAGTTCTGCAACTATTACTCAATTGGGCAACAAACAACGACAACGTATGAGAACTTCGAGTATGCCTGCAGAGAACAGAAAGGTAAATATTACATCCAGCAAATGTGCTGCAGTAAAATAATTCGAAACTTGTAGTTGCACTTAAGTTTCGCAAAGTTTGCAATTTTCCTTAGCGTGCAGTTATGCACTAGTGCTGCGGCAATTTTGAAAAACATGTTTAATAAAATTTTTCCGCTGTTAGATTTAATGCTTCCGGTTGCACGCCGGATATGCACTGTACGTTGTGTGTATTCTGTTCGTTCTATCGTTCTATCGTTCTATTATATCAGTCGAACTGGTGGTAACGTTTTCATCGCGAAAGTTTTTATCTAGAAACTAGAATGCATGTCTTCGCTTGTGATCAATTTAGTTTAAGTGCAACTTAAGTGTGCATGACAAATGAAGCGGTTTCTGAGTCCCATTTCCTACAATTTTGAAATTTTCACAATTTCCAAATTGGGTCAATGAACTTTTCAGTTTAACTTACGAATGCAGTACAGCAATTTATGAGAAGTTCTTATGATGTTGATTTTAAATATTGAAGTTTTGTTAATAATACAAATACTAAAACAAACTTTGATATTTGATTTCGAATTCCGTATGTAGGTTGATTCCACTTAAGAGTTTACTTTGAAAAAACTTTCTAGAATTTGTTGTGCACATTTTATAGATAGTGCATTCACGACAATCATTTTAATACCTTATTAAGTTTTCATATGAGTTTATTTTAATAGCAAAGTTGCCTATCATACACAATATTACATATATTTCAGAACTAAAGTCTCTGTAATATGTACTGATTTGAAGAGCTTAGTGCATTAATGTACAATAATATTTATGCACAATATGATGCATTATTCCTATGTAAATAAAGGCAACATTAAAACTATTTTATTAGCAAATACTCTAATAATTATTTTGAATTATTTGTAAAAGACTTAAATAAGTTATTCATTTACTAGGAAATACATCAAAGCAACTATAAATATAGAAAAATTTATTAGTAATAAAATTTGCTTGTTTAGACAACTGAGTGGAAAGTATGAGAATGCCATAGATTGTATAATTTGATAATTGGACAATTTATAACATCTGTATAATTGTATACCATGACATAGCTTAGGCTAATTCAAAAGATACATGGCCGATATATAATAGTTAAGCCCATATATTGCCAAAAATTCAACACCATGTTGATCCACAGTGTAGGGCTTCTCTGGGCAGACTAATGAGTTAACATGTCCTTATAGAAAATAATGCTGTATGGAGAAAAAAGTCATTAGTTAAAGGCCAAAGAACACTCTATCATTAAAAAAAATACGAGCCAAAGACTTTGTTAGACCATAAAGCGTATGTGTATTCATATTAAAGTGGCAAACATACTAAGTATATAATTTAGTATCATCAATATGATTGTTACTAGACACACTACTGCCAAATTAAAAAATCAAATCTGCAAAATATACTCTATTACGTTATCATGTATTGAATTTTTTTTTTATTAAGTATCAATAGCTTTCATAAGATAACTAAGAACTTATATGTATATTTTGTTATTCTTTTTAAAGCCACGTCTAGCCGATACTCGAAGAGCAGCTATTCATTGTGCAGATATTGATTTGGAATATTATCGTTTAAGAAGTTTTAGTATTACTTCTCATGGTATATGTAACTTAGGCGATTCTTTACGGTAACTATTTACATATATGCACATTAATTATTTAACTAAAAACAAAAGCAATATACAAAAATGTTATTTAAAGATTGAAAAAGAAATTATCTAAATAATCAAGTATTAAGAAAAAAGAAAAAGTGTCTTTAATTAAATGTATAGTATATTAAATTATTAATTTTTAACATACTTACATATAATAATAGCAAAAAAAAACAATTTATTATTTAATATAGATATTAATTTGAAAATAATAATATATATTTATTTTCTATAATTATTTCATATCTTTTTGGTCAAAGAAGTCGAAGATCACGGTCCATTAATTCAGTTACTTCAACAGGCACTTCAAATAGTGGAAAAGATAGACATAATAGGTGAGTTTTAGTTAAAATATTTTTATAATATGCTACCATATTTTTAAATATGAATATAAATATGATATGATAAAAATATGATAATTAGAGATTGTTTATATATCGTATGTATTATACTATATTATTATTGAAAACCAACAGTTGGTAGTGAATAGTGTATGGCATCTCCTATAAAATTAAAGTAGATAATCCAAATATTAAGAATGTATTTCTTATATTAAATAAAAAGGTTTTATAGATTTTTAATGTACAAGCACTACTTATTGATTCATTTGCTATATTTCGAGAAGAGTAAATATACAATAGTTAACATACTACAATTATGTGCAAAATTTATTGTCCATATTTCTTTTTCACGGTTACCAGTGTCTGGATAAGTAACAGAACATTCTGAACATATAGAACTAGAGTAAGAATCGAATGACTCATGCTGGACTCGGCTGGGCTACAGAAGAAAATCGATAAAAAACAAAACTACTTAAGTTTTAATCAAAAACACTGCATATAAATTAATATTAATTTCCGGATATCTAATTAAATATCTGGTAAAATATTTTATTTTAAATACATTTTCAGATTTATATTATATGTAGAAAATATATTGACTTCATAGATATTTATATTATTAAGTTTAATATACTAGATAAAATTATTTGGCTGTTTTCAACAAATTCATATTTTTTTCTTTTTTAATATTCTGTATTTATATCATTGTAAATTTATAAATTACATTTTTTCCCACAGCAATGCTTCACGTACATCCGGTGATATAATCTTTGAGCAGACGGATAAACGTGATGCCGGTAAAGGACAAATTCCTGCCTACAAAATTGCAATGCTGGGCGCATCAGGTGTAGGAAAAACTACGTTAACATATCAATTTACAACTTCCGAATATATTTGCGCCTATGATTTAAGTTTGGGTGAGTATATGGACAGATGAATGTTAAGCAAATATGATTGATATGAAGTGAGTATTGAAATGGCTACATGAAATGAATGTGGAATATAATTTTTTCATGCTGAAGTGTTTTGTGTCTTAATTTCCGTATATCCTCTTTTTTGTAATAAGATGCAATTTAGTATTTTAAATATACAATATTAATTAGTCAATAATAGTATTAATTTTACGTTTAAGTATTTATTTCAATGTGAATCGTATACTCATTTATGTTGTTTAAAATTCACTCCTTAAAATAGTATAAAATTTGAAGTACTTGACAACATTTAGATACTTCGTATCAGGTAAAGTGAAAGTTTACAAATTGCAATATGGGTTGCATGAAAGCATTAGAGTATGCAGAAGTAAAAATATGAGCACGTATTGGATGATAAAATGTCCACATGTGGTGGTATCGCTGTTAGCTTGCGGTAAATGGTTGAGCAACTTACCAGCAATAATCGCACGTGCATTGTCTGTAGAATAAAGTTCAAGTTCGATGAGAATGTGAATAAGCAAGTAAGCAAAACATCTGCGGTAGTTCCGTAAGCAATATTATTCCATAAAACTAGAAAATTGATTACCCATGCACGTTGAACAATTTCAATACCAAAAACTGAGCAAAAAATAAAATATAAGTAAAATTATTTAACTACTATATTTTTAATATTTCTATAAACAATTCTATTCTGTACAAAAGTAAACTGAATTTATTTTTTAAACTACTGGAATAGAAATGGAAAATAAAAAATCAATAATGAAAATACTTAGGCTCTGTTCATTACGCGTAAGCGGAGCCCGAACCCATCGAGAGTGAGAGTAGGAGATATGTTAATAAACTGGAACGATAGCATTAAATATCTAGGCATCACGGTGAACAAACAATTCACATGGCTTGAACATGTTCAACTGAAAAAAATTAGCTGTGCCAAAATTCTTCATCACCTCCAACACTATTATTCGCCAGCTAGAAATTGCACAAAGCCAGGCTCTGAGAAGACTTTTCAAGGTACTATGGTGCATTATGACGAATGACATCTTCAGGGACCTCAAGATTGATCCGATCAAAAAATACATAAAGGATAGACCCCTGAAATTATTTACGAAAACGGGCAGGCCTAACAACACCGTGTTATCGAATTTCAGTATGGTTATAGGCTCCTCGGGAAGGTATGCAGATCTGAGGTCAGTTTTTGTTTAGTCTGATGAAGTGATAAAGAATAATCCATTTAAGGAGTAGAGAGGGGTTATGAAGAAACCTCGCAGTTAGTAGAGAGTAAAAGTAGTTAAGTGCAAGAAAATATGTGTTATATATTTCAATAGATAGAATTAAAAATACATAAATGAAAAAGACTAAAAGAAAACTAAAGTTACGTTTTTAGGGTTAATAAGCGATCAACTATTACATTCTTTATTAGTAAAACTTCAGTTAAACTAATTATTCTTAAAGGCATAATATTGATTAAGAAATTATTTTATCTTTAATAAGAATTAAAACAAATTTTTTAATTCAAATAAATATAATCTATTAAGTATACATTTAACCTTATTTTTCTTTTTATATCACATACATTAAAGCAAATATATTAGATCAAATTTTTATTAAATTCCGTCTTCTATACAAATTGAACTAATTTAAAAATATTAAAAATAGCAATTTTAATCGCTTTGACATATTTAAGACTATAAAGTTTGCGTTTAATCATTTGGACAGTGTAGTGTTTTTGTGTCTGATAAAAAATTTCCATGAAGCACGCAATTTTTCCCCTCCCTCTTAACCTTACTTTTATATCAGCACTTAATCAAAAAAATATTGCTTAACCATAAAATTATTATATTAAAAAATACCAAAAACTCTTAAAATGAACAATACTAATAAGAGCTTAAAAGCATTATTAATTGCAGTTCATATAATTTTTATAGTTACCATAGATAGAATTTAATATGAAACAATTCAGGTTTAATGTGAACACTCATTTATTCTATAATAATTAAGTTGTGTTATTATAAAAATTACAAATGCCCAACATTTCTGTTGATTTACGTAGATATTTCATGGAAACTCTATTAAGTGTGTATTTCATTAATTTTTAAAATGAACACCAAAACAGTAGAGGACTTGTGCAACGGAAACAAGGAAAATTAATAGCAGAAAAAAAACAATATAGCGTACAACGTGACGTATGAGTAACAAAAATTCTGTTGCATTTACGAATACCACATGTAGTCTTGTTAAGTCCTGTTAATGAGTATTTATTATTCGCATTTCAGTACGTTGGCAGTAAATTAAATTTCTATGTCCTACTGATGTGTTTTATACATGAAATTTATTTTTCAATAACTTTCACAGGACACACATAGAATTTTAAATATACCAAAAAATTGTGTCTATTACAGTTTTGCTATATGTATAAAATACTGCAAATTGCTTCTTTATATAACAATAAAATATTAAAATGTTCAAAACTCATATAAAAACATTAAAGAAAAAACAGAATTAAAAGTGCTTTTAGTGCTCCGAAATTTTTATTTATTTTAGAAAACCTTTAATACTGTTTTTAAATTCATATTTTAGATTCATTTATGGTTTTGGAAAGGTTCTACAAAGTTTTATTTTATGTATGTTTACATGTAAAAATGTGGTTAATATTATTTATATTTAACTCTTAACTTAAGGTAAATAAACAATAGAACACAAATTTTATCTAATTTTAAAGATCAGCAAATATAAGGTGCTATTAGGCTGTAGAATTTACATTTAAATAAGGTTTTAGAAATTATTATATATATGTTAGTATCGTCATTATTTACTTCTACAATGAGCTTCGGCCTATAATTTTTCATTTGCTTTCCGATTTCTTATGTCTCTTTACGACATTTTGATTGAGATCGTTCTCTTTTTGTTACTAGATATAATTGTGTAGTCACAATTTTTTTTCTTTAATCTCAGCTTTTTCTCTTCCTAACATTTTCTTTTAACGTACATATTTCAATAAATTTTTCTCATTTTTGTTATCTATGTATGAGTACTTTCAATTATAGCATAGGTCACTAGGGAGTTTTCTTCGAAAGTTGTGGTGGACTACCATTATATGACTAACAGATATGAGTGGCGCTTTGCTGGATGCTGGTAACATAGGAATTGAAGATAATAAGTCCACATATAATCTTGCAAGAACTGAATCAATCAGACAACTCTGTGAACCATAACTTTATCGAAGTATAATTTAGTCCACTCAAATGTCTCTGATAGAAAAATGATTTGTGCTGAAAAAAGTCGCTATTGGCGTAACATTCCAGATAATCGCAGTGATAAAGAGCTGGTGCATCTGTTCAACTATAGTAGTGTACCCCTTCCTTAATACAGCGAAACTGAGATTTTTGGTAGGTTATCTGATGGGTATCTGTTATTATTCTGATAAAATGAAACTTTTTGAGATCTGTCTTAAGAAACAGATTTTGGTGTCTGTTTGGAAGCAGATTAGACCTCACATTCTTTGTAACTTTGATCTAGTTCAAGTCGAGACTGTTGGCATAGTTTTGGTGTCTTCGACAACTGACATTTTGATTTTTAATAGAAAGGTGGAATGTATTTTCTTCAGTTAGGGTCTGAAAGTAATAAAAATGTGAATCATAGTCGCAAAGATTTGCTTTCAAGGTCCTAATACTCTGTTAATTTTAATTATATTCTATAATTTAGTCATTTTGTTTATTCAATCATTCACATCCTTTAAACAGGATGACTTGTATGACTAGATGACTTAGTTACAGTAACTTAACTTCTATTTATATTATAAACATATAGTAAAAATATTTAAATGATATTGAAAACGTGTAGAATAAGAAATTTTGATAATTTTTTAAAAATTTATTAAAAATTGTTTGGGTCCATATGTATTCTAATAATAACGTAATTGAAAGCAAATATTAAAATTTAAATACTTTTTATGTATTTATTTTATAACAGATTTCTTGCTTCTCTTCCATTTCATGGTCACATATATTCTTATAAATTTTTTCTTTATCTTAGATGATGATTATGGTCAGAAAACGGTATCTGTGCTTGTCGATGGTATCGAGACTGACTTGGAAATTATCGACCATCCCGCATGTGAAATGTCGGTAAGTTTAAGCCATAAAGTAGGCCAAGTTCTCATAGTACTTGTGTGCACTTCAATTAAATGCTCGAAGGCCTCTTATATGGTCTATTGCCTGGTGAAAGTGCAACAATGCATGTGTTTGACACTTTCATTGAATAAAATTAGCACTTTGAGTGCAAAAAGCGGTTAATGTAATAACACTTTTTCAATGCAAAGACAGATTTGCAAGTAGCAATGTCAAATAGTTGAAAAGTGTCATTGCACAAATATTGAAGCTGTTAGCAGCATAAAAAGCAGCGTTGATTGCATTTATATGATAATGTATTCAGCATTTGCAGTTGCATTTTTTTATCAAATTTTGTTTTTTCATTTTTTGTATATTTTATTATGCATTCAAACGTGCACAGACGGAGGCGTTTTGTTCCACCTACAACATTGACCTATTTGTTGTTGTATACTCGGTAGTGGATCGCAACTCATTTAAAGCAGCTGAAAAGGTTTTGCAGTATCTGAAGGAGAATGAAATGCTGCTTACACGTGGCGCTATATTGGTGGGAAACAAAACGGACTTGGAGCGGCACAGGGAAGTGACTAGACAAAGTGAGTAAATGAAAAATTGAAATGTAAAGAAATTATTTTCATAATTATGTTAAAATAATTTTTTTAAATTATAATGGGTGTTTTAATGCTACAGTGGGTCGGAAATTAGCCAAAGAGATTGCATGCAAATTCATAGAAACTTCATCAGGCTTGGATCATAATGTTGATGAGTTGCTTGTTGGCGTGGTAGCACAAGTTAAACTCAATCCACAGCGCATACATAATTTGAGTGAACGTGATCGTCAACGTTTAAATTTACAAAGCACAATACAGAAACACCGACACATGCATATGCCAGCAAGACGTATGGTACGTCAAATGTCCATGTGTCATGGTGATGATGGCAATGCCGTTTGCCATGAGGGTGATGAAAATCAATCAAACAATGTAATTGGTTCCTCAGTTGGTGATGAAGGCATTGGCACTGGGAGTGAACGCACTGCAAGTACAAGTCTATCGTCGGGAGCAAGTAAACCAACTAACAAAGGACCTGTACGTAAAACTAATAAACGTACTTTGAATTTGGAAAGTATATTGAAAATGGGTGAAAGTGAATTAGAAGATGAGGAAGAGTTGCATCGACAGCACAATTATTCACAAACAAGAACTCCAAGTAAATTTGAGTTACTGACTTCTGGTCGAACACCGTTTGGAAGCGTTAATTCTTCTCCAAAATCACGACAGTCATATGAATCAAGTGGTGGTAGTGGCAAAACTGGACGTGCTAGTGGTGGCAGTAGTGGCGCACATACAACTGGTGAGGCCATCAGTCAACATTATCGAGAAAACCATGTTGAGGATAATTTACTCGAAGATTGCAATCGTAAGACTGTTTCCAAACTGACTAATCGTACGAAAATATTTCTTTCGTCAGTGTTAAAGTTTAAAAAAGCTATTAATGTTAAACGTAGAAATTCGTCAAGTTGTAGTGATTTGTTTGTAATATAAATAAATTATAAATCAGAAATAAAAAAGTACATTTTGAGTAAGTTTGTAGAATAAAAAGTTTATACCAAATGAAGTTATAAAAAATTTAAAATACTTGACGGAAAATAAAAAAATTGTGGGTTATGCATGTTTTTGTTCCAATAACGAATTTCACAGATTTACGAATAAAGACAATAAATTTCGTACATACCTACATCACTATTTAAAAAGAAAAATCTGCAACATATATTAAAATCGATCAAGTGGTTTCAACCAAGAATGCAACGCAACAAACCCACATAATAAAATCAAAAGTTTTATATAAGCAAGTTATTTATATAAAAAAAAGTATAAGCTTCAAAAATATAATTAATTTAAATCATATCACAGCGACTTTATATATCATCTTAAAAACTAATTGTAAAAAAATGCACAAAATTAATACATTAAATTAAATAATCAATATGGAATTATATCATTATGTCTCATATCTGCATATATACATAGAAGATATGAATATATACTTATATAGAGCATCCTACGACACTAAAAATTTATATATATTAATACAAAGTACCAATTGTTATGAAGGAATTTGATAGTGTTTCACAACCAAACCAAAATTTTTAGTGAATCTTTACAGGGAGTAGTGGCAGTAGCAGTATTTTAGTGCATTTTAAAGCAAAAAA